AACAAGCACGGTCGTAAACGACCGTATACGGAGAAATACGACGATTTACATGGTCACGTATTACGATCGTATATCTCCGTGTCGTATACGGAGAAATACGGTGATATACGGAGAAAAATACGATCGTAAACTGAGATCGTATACGGAGTTCGTATACAATCTCCATTTTGCTCCGTATTTCTACGTATATCGTCGTATTGCTCCGTATACGGTGACGGTGATATACGATCGTAATACGTGACCATGTAATACGGCAAAATACGGTCGTATACGAAGGAAAACGGACCGTACACGACCGTTTACGACCGTTTACAGACTCCGTAAACCTCGACCTGGGTAGTAAAAATTTGCCTCAATGAAATTTGCTAAGATTAAATGAAGAACTGCAAGATAGATTATTTCGTGAAAAAGCATTCATTGACATTATTTGGCAAACTAGGATATTAATTGTGTATGATTGCTTTAGCTATTGATGTTGGATAAGGAGCAAAAATTATTGCAGTAAAAGAACGTAGTAATATGCACACGTGCACGTTAATGTATACAAAAAAAGACGATTAGAAAGAAGCGTGTGATTTTTTTATTTGTTTCTCTTCTAATTATATAAGTAAAATCTTGTTTCGCATGACTGATTTTTTTTTCTTTGATCGTCCTTGACGTTTTATACATGAGCATATGAAGGTTATGTGAGCAGTAAGATATGAAAGGCTAAAAAATGGCTCAAACCAGTCGTTTGTTTATATTTGAATAAATGTCTTCTTGGTTTTCGCAAAAGATTCTTTTTCGTTTTTCTGAAGTTTCAGCGGAAGATGTTGTCCTCTTGAGACTTAATTGATAAGAAATAAAGTGTACTGAATTACATATATCCCTTTTTTCCTTTCTTTTTCTCTGTTCTTATTAAAGTTTGAAAGTAGGTCAAAACAAGAGAACGAAAAAATCTCACTTTTACTGACTATCACCTTCTTGCCTACTCACTATCACATTCTAATAACCATGATGACGAAAAAGAAAATTTCAGAAGAAAAAAGGAGAAATTTATTTATATAAATGTCTTTGTTCGTTTTTATTGCATACTATTGAAAATGATTCGTACTGCTTTGGTAACTGGTGCTGCTCGAGGGATAGGACGTGCAATTGCTTTTCGGCTTGCTAAAGATGGTTTCAATGTTGCTGTTAATGATATAGAAGCTAGTTCTTCTGATCTTCAAAAAGTTCAACAAGAAATTGAAGAAATCGGTCGAAAATCGATCACTATAATTGCTGATGTTTCTGACAGTGAATCGGTCGAAAGGATGATGCAAGAGGCTGCAGAAAAATTAGGAAGTCTAGACGTATGTATTTTTCACTATTTTCGATTGTTTTATCTTTACTTTTGCAATCAATTCTACAGGTAGTGGTCGCAAATGCAGGAATTGGTGAGGTAAAATCACTCTTGGATACGACTGTAGAAGACTGGGATAGAGTTTTCGCAGTAAACATGCGTGGAGTATTTCTTTGTTACAAAGAAGCAGCTAAAATTATGATTCAACAAGGTAGAGGAGGAAAAATCATTGGTGCAGGTAGCTCTGTTGCATATAAAGCATGTGCAATGATTGGTCCTTATTGCGCCACAAAATGGGGTATATGAGGTTTAACACAAGCTGCTGCTATAGAATGGGCTCCATACAATATTACAGTTAATGCTTATTGTCCAGGTATACTTTAGAGTATTTTTGAATATTAAACCTATGAATTTTTATTAGGGCTCATTAAGACATCGTTGTCTGACAAATCTAATGAAGAATATGCAAAACTTCAAGGAAAGACATTCAACGATGTCGTGGACGATTCTCTAAAAATAATTCCGCTTGGTTGCATAGGATATCCAGATGACGTCGCAAACCTGGTTTCATTTCTTGCAAGCAAAGATTCTGACTACATTACTGGACAAAATATTTTAGTTAATGGTGGAAGAGATTTTTCTTAAATTTTAATTCATTGATATCTAACACAAAATAAAATTTATCTTGGGCTACATACATAAAATATTGATGTTTTGTCATTTAAAAAACCTCATATAAAAAATAATAGAAACTTTTTCCATTTTATTAATATCTGCTAATTAATGGAACTGAACTTTTACAAATTCATGGTATGACGTAAATGAATTACAAACTCGCTGATGAGCGCTCACGCAAAGAGAAGAAGGAAAGAGGAAAAGAGACTTTTGACAAAGAATAATGCAGTTTTTCGCGTGAAAACTTACCAAAACAGTTCAAAATGTTAATATGTCTGAAGATGACGAAGAGGAACACTTATCACCACGTTAGTTGAGTGTTGTTTTATTATGTGATAAATGAAATAGAAGAATAGTACGCATGGAAAAATCAGAAGATCTATTAAGACAACTGTGTGGGTGTGAATGATGCTGATCAAAATAGTTCCCACATCCACAATAAATACGTCCTATAGAGCTGAAATTTATTTTTCACAGATACTAGACACTGTTGGGAGTGCCTGTTTTTTTTTATTCCTTTTAAGGAGTGGGTCAGAGATGTGAGACTAGTGACAGACACAGCTATATCTACATTTCTAACCATATGTATGGAAAGTACCTAATCGAACATAGATAAATTATCATGATTTTCGGATTTAACTTCATCGTGTGGGTCGCAGATTTCAATCTTTGAACCTGCTCAGGACATTAGCACCAATATTCTTGTATAGGGTATCAAATATTTCTTTCGTCTAAATGTTATTATCAACAAAAATATATATTAGCATGTTTATATTTGATGTCTCGCTTTTATCTTCGTTAAACATAAACTAAAAAGCGAATTTGATGCCTGCTGCTTAGTTTTTTTAGCTTGTCGTTTATTTTTTGATAATGTCTGTCCATTTTCGAGATCGTTCGACAAAGCTGCTAGTGCTTCATTTTCCCCTGCATAAGTCTTAATCAAAAATGTTGTAATTTATGACCGATGACATGTTCTCACCGGGCAGCTCATCAACAAGGTTCAACAAATCGACAAAAACTTGATTGGCTACACGCGTTTTTCGATTTTGATCATGGATTATATTCTTTGCATCTTTCACAATCACATTTGAGTTTGGCTATTGCATGGGAAATGATAAGAGATTGGACTTTGCCATATATCCTAAAATTAACAAAACACATTTATCATCATTATTCGATTTTCTCTTTAAATGACATTATTTATAAATTTTTGACAATAGAATATAGCTTATGAATGATTTTATCAATCAAAATTATTAAAATGCTTTTGAAATCGCGATGAACTGTGCAAAGAATATGAATAAGCAATGCTTAGTTTACCGATACTATTAATAAGTATGATTGATTATTAGTCTTTTGTGAAAAACTCATCTCCGATGCTTTTTTATATAGTTTTTAAATTAGTGATGTTTCATATAAATTTTCTATTGAAATCTTTATGCTTCAAATAACCATTATAATTCTATGTTGACAGATTTTAAACTAATCAAAATCATTTTCATCTTACTAATCTATCCGTCATTTAATTTAATTCACACATATTTATTCTTATCGAATATGAAGTCACAAAGATGATATTATATCAAAAATAATTTCGATGGCCTTCATTTTCTTGTCTTGATTGACTGGTAGTCATCTATTAAGGTATCATTAAAATCCACATTCGAACTATCATGACATACATTCTATGAAAAACCGTTTTTTAAGGGTCACTTGAGGAATGAAATCTTTCTCTAGTTTAACAAGATTGATAAATAAACTATTCAATTTTTTTGCTTCGAAAAAAAGTGACTTCAAACCAGAAGTTTAATTTGAAATTTTCAAGAAAAACTTTCATGTAAGAAACTTAACAAATTGATTAAAATGGAGAAAATACTCGGCGACTATAATTTATGTCAATGGAATCCAGTGCAGTATGGATCAAGTTTTTATCTTTCATTTTATTGATTACATATTGGAAAGAAGAAGTCTTGTTCACAATGAGTGGACAAGAAAGAAAAAGAAAAGTAATACCAGTCGAATTTTTTTTCTCGAAACACTTCAAGTAGCTCCGCATACATGTCAAGAATATTGTTTTCATAATGAATTGTCAGTATCTGTGAACATTCCACGATTCCATTTTTTTAGACACCATGAAAACTATTATTCAGTTACAGTCTGTGGGTGTAGGTAGGTGTGGGTATGCACTTTCTCGATGGTACCCACACCCACATCAATGATTGACTCGAAAGTTATTTGGTGGCTAGGAACGGCTTCTATGTCATAAAAATCGAAAATATTTTGACGTTTCCTAAAAAGCTAAACGTAAAATAGCGATTGATCAGCGCGTTTTGAACAATATTAACGACATGCGTTCTGCATCTTTATTTTAAATTTAAGTATGTTTTTCAGAACTATCCTTAGCTCTTAATTTTAAAAATTAAATTGGACATACGCAACAGAAACTTTTAGTGTCTTGTTCTATATATTAGTTCCAAATTCAAAGTATGGTCAATTGTATGAGTCAACTGCTTTCGATGTGCCACCTCTGAATACTCTGAAGATCAAAGAGCTCTAGCGAAATCTTACTCACTCGATAAGAGATCAAACTAAAATAGTACAGAAAAAGTTCACGTTTCGAAAAAAAAATACTCTTTGGATTATTTGGTCGTTACTTCCGTACTACAGTGGCAATGAAACTTGGTAAATACATACGAGAGAAATTGTTTATTGATAGCAGTGATGATTCATCTTATTGTGTGCAGGTGTCAATAACCAGAGTACACACACCCACATTAATCAAAGACAAGTTGAATTACTGACTACCTGTAATTAGAATTCATCTAGCTATCGGTGAGATTTACAACACATTCTCAGGGTCTATCATTGCTTTCCAACTATGAGTTTTCATAATCGTGCTTTCGTTCTCTCTCTTTACTGGGTGCTAGTACAATTCGTCGCAGAGCAATTTCTTTCGTTCTGTTCGTCACTATCTACTCTTGATATATCACTCAATTCGTTCTTTTTTTTAAAAACTAATCCGAATAAAATAATCCAATGAAAAATTAAAGATCAATTGGACTTCGATTTCTTAAAACGTACTGTTATGTTAGACGGTGTTTGTTGGAGAGACACATATTGTTCTCAACCAAGAGGCAAGTTGATTGTCTTTCTTCGTACTGTTTCGCAAAAACATTCTTCAAATTTCAAATATTTAAATATACGATATGCAAAACTATTGATAAACACATGTAAAAATAGTAACAAATATTAGTAGAATAACAAGCATTTTCAAGAAAATAGCCCATTGAACTTTCTTGACCGTTTAAGCAGCCTGCAGCAATACGCTATCTATCAAAATACCACCTCTGGGATTTTTATGTATGCATGCATATGCCGCAACATCTTCAGATACCTAACGCTTAGTATCATGTTAAAACAATCCGTTCGTAGTTAATTTTGAATTTTCCATAATTTGCTAATACTCCTATCTCTGGCTGCGCCAATGATGAATTATTTACAAAAACTTAAAATGTCATTGCGGATCAACTTTTTTTCTATTCTTGGCAAGAAGTATAATATTTAAAGAATTTCTGATCGTATAATCTTATTCAAAATAATTTTGAAAAGATTTCGATACATTTTAGATTCCAGAACTTGTGTTTCCCTGCTTTTTTTTTCTTTTTTTTTATACTCAAATTTTTCATGCTTTTCTCATTTATAATGCACAAAATAAAGAAAAATTAATTGATTAGTTTCATATCTTTGAAAAAAAAGAAAAATGAATTAAGTAATATGTCAAGAATAGATAGTGACGAGCAGAACGAAAGAAATTGCTCTGAGACGAAATGATCGCGACGAAGTGGTCGGTTACCCTTTATTCTTTTGCTCCTTATCTCTTTTTTCTATTCTGGCTCTCATGATATGTATTTTGTTCGCCTCCTGATGTGTGTTTGCCTGTTTGATTTCTTTTTTTTCTCCCTCTTGCTTCTGCGCGTATATTTCTGCCGTCACTCATTCGCACGGTATCGAAAATTTCTTTTGACAACCGTTAACTGTTCGCCTCTCAGTTAAATAACGAATAGGATGGATACATACAATGATGAAACAAAGAAGAGATTGTTTGTTGCTATTAAAATTCCTGAAGAAATTCAATTGCATGTGCTACAGTCGCTCAAAGAAGAAGAATCACCAATGGGAGTTCGTTGGCAACATGGAAACAAACTACACATAACGCTCTTCTTCATTGGAGATCAATCTCAAGAAGGAACTCAACACGTAATCGAACTCTTGAAAAAAATTAACAACAAATTGGAACTCTTTCAATTTCAATTGAAGATGAAAGGAGTTGTTAGATGTCGATCACGAACATTACGAGTTATATTTGAAGAAAGTTCAGATTTAGATGTTTTGCAGAATGAAATACAGATCGCACTTCAGTCTCTTGGTATCATATACAACTTTTCTGGAGGGCATGCAACTCTCGCAAGACTTAGTGAAGAAGTTCCAGAAAATTGGATCGAACAGTACATCACTAATCACCCACCATTTACTATGATTCTTTCTTCATTTACGGTAAAAGAATTTATTTTATTGGAATCAAGTTTAAAGACGGAAGAATACTTTCTGGTACATACATTTCCACTCCACGC